CTAGCTATGGTTAGGCTATGCATTCTTAGCTAAACGCTATGTACTGAAATCTGTTTTTTGCCCATAACTTATTTATTTGCAAATCTACTTCCTTATATTATTATATATTTGTAATCCTCATAAAATTTAGAACAAAGTGGCTATTTTCAAATATTTATAGGCCTATAATTTATACAATTTCATTGAGCGCAAACTTATTTTTTTTTTCAATTTTTCCAAAATAATTTTTTTTTTTTACCAAAATAAATTTTTTGAAACAAATATTCCTTATGTTTTATGTATGATATTGAAGCCCATGATTTTCCAAACAAAATGGTATATAGAACATTAGAATTAACATTGTTTTAAGCTTCTCAGGTCCGTTTTAATAAAACCTTGCAAATGCGCCAAAAATAGGTGGACATTAAGGCCTAAACTATGGACACTTGGAGGGTTAAAAAGGTCTTAAGAGAAATTGGGAAATTTTGTGTTTTGAGGGTCAAAAGTGAGAAAAACCAATTTTTACCCCATAAAACCCCCCGTAAAGCCCCGTTCCCATGGGCCGATCATGCTGGTTCGCGAACTCATTCAAGTTTATCCCGCTTTACACCTTTAAACCAAATTTCATCAAAATCGGACAAAAATTACTCAAGTTATCGCGTTCACGGACGTATATATATATATATATAAGTCTATATAAAAATATATATATATAAAAATAATAATAAAAAATAATATATATAAAAATTTGAACGAATGGTGTTTTTGGCCTCTGGGAACATCAAAATACTTACTTACTTACTCCTGTGGCCACACAAATCCCAAGTGATTTTTGGCCTCGCCAACAATGCTCCTCCACTGCTGCCTATCTTCTGCTGCCTCCAAACTCGCTCCTAACCTCCTGAGGTCCTGCCTCACTTGGTCATTCCATCTTAATCTGGGCCGTCCCAGCGGCTGTCGTCCTTCTGGTTGCCCCATCCATACCTTCTTAATCATACAGTTATCATCTCTTCTATATACATGTCCCAGCCATCGTAATCTTCTGCTCTTTACCATTGCTATGATATCTGGGTCATTATAAAGTTTTCTTAATTCTTGGTTCTTCCTTATCCGCCATTCACCATTGTCATTAATAGGACCAAACACTCTACGTAAGATTTTATTTTCAAAAACTATCAATTTCTTTTCATTTTGCTTTGTAAGTGTCCAGACTTCTGCTCCATATAGTAGAACTGGTTGTATTATTACTTTATACATCTTTATTTTAGTTCTTCTGGTCAGGAGTCTACTTCTAAATAGTTTTGTTAGACTCCAATAGCACCGTTGAGCTGCTGCTAATCTACATTGGATTTCGTCGTCTTGTCTGCTTTTAGTACAGGCAAAATAGATTAAAATTCACCAAAAAAACAAAAAAATTAGTTCAGGGATGAAACTTTGGTTTTAACTTCGTTTTACCAATAAAAGTCAAGATCCAATGAGTCCCTAACAGTCCCGATGGGGGGAAAAAGGTTTTTAGGGGGTGGGGAGGGGGAATTTTGATATAATTCATTATTCATGATTTGAAGTCATTTAGGAAGTCGTTTTTAAGGTTTGTATACACTGTGAATCGATAGTAACCATATTTAGGTCGATAGAACCACCTCCATAAGAGATTTAGCATATTGGTACATGTTTAGTTGTTATTTTTCTAGGAGGAGTAGGGGGAATTTTAAATAATTTATGTTTTTTGACTTATGACTTGTTGGGTGTCGTTTTCAATGGATTTCTACATGCCAAATAGAATGGAACCACTATTTTGTCAATATAACTACATTATTAACAGATTTGGAGTGCTATCTGACTGAAATAAAATAAATGTTTGTGCACAAAATTAATTAATATTTAAACATAAAAATTAAAACTATTATCTAAACATCAAGTATTAATTGAATGAGTTTATTTTTACAATAAATTCAATTTTCCCCATAATAAAAAATACCCCCGCCGCAGCAAACCTGCAGACCAAGCGAATTTCCATTTATCTGGCAGGATTTCTACTAAAATTTGTCCTTGAAACTGTCAGATTTATTTCCTATTTAAATAACATTAATTTTAATTAATAATTAGGTTTGCTGCAACAGGGATGTAATGGGGGTTGTTTTTATTAAAATGTTGATAGCTTAGTATGAAATAAACAAAATTGCCAAATTTGGTTTAAATATATCCACAAACAAGTTTATTTATCTACAACAGTTTATTTATTTTCCATTAGAATAACATGGAAATTTTAAATTTAATTTTTTTTTATTATCTCCTTAACCGTTAGGCGTACAACAAGGCATACCTATACTAAATTATTAAATCTTTTAAGCTCTAGAAAGTGGTTTGGAAAGAAATTGTGAAATTCTTTGTTGATGGGGTCAAAAATGGGAAAACCCAATTTTCTCCCCACAAAAGTCTCCATAAACCCATAATACATTGTAATACATTGACATTAAGTCAGGATTTAAACCATGTTTTATGATTTAAAGTTCAAGTAAATATCTATTAACCTTTGCGTAGCCCCTACAAAGTTTGTATATATGTTTTATATGTTTTGTACATATGTATACTGTTTTTATATCCTTCAGCAAGTCAAAGGAATACATTCTAAGTTACAACCAGGTTTTTAGCGAATTTCCCATATAGGGAATAAGCTATTACCGTAGGTCTCATGGTAAGACTTAGACCCGGGACCAATTTACATTTTTGTTTTGAGGTCCCCAGAAGTCAAAAACACCATCCTTTCAAATTCATATACATATGTGTCCGTTTAGCGTGATAACTTGAGCACAAATTATCCGATTTTGATGTAATTTGGTACAAACGTGTAAACCTAAATTTATTCGAACGAGTTTGCGAACCAGCATGATTGGACTATGGGAACAGGGGTTTATGGGGATTTTTATGGGGAGAAAATTGGGTTTTCCCATTTTGGCCTCATCAACAAAGAATTTCACAATTCCTTTCCAAACCACTTTCTAGAGCTTAAAATATTAAATAGTTTAGTATATGCCTAGTAAATAAGGTTCTTTTTATTTACGTTTCTTTTATTTACTTTCCGTAAAAATTAAAGTAATTTTTCACCGACTTCTTATCCTTTAAGGTTAAGGAGATAATTTAAAAAAATGTAAATTTAAAATTCCCATGTTATTCTAATGGAAAATAAATAAACTGTTGTAGTTCGCTTGTTTGTGGATATATTTTTAAACCAAACTTGGCAATTTTGTTTATTTTATACTAAGCTATCAACATTTCAATAAAAACAACCCCTATTACCTCCCCTGTAGCAGCAAACCTAATGACTCATTAAAATTAATGTTATTTAAATAGAAAATAAATAGTAATCCTGTCAGGTAAATGAAAATTTGCTTGGTCTGCAGGTTTGCTGTGAGGGGGTATTTTATAATAATAGGAAAAATTAAATTTATTGTAAAAATAAACTCATTCAATTAATACTTGATGTTTAGATAATAGTTTTAATTTTTATGTTTAAATATTAAATAATTAATTTTGTGCACAAACATTTATTTTATTTCAGTCAGATAGCACTCCAAATCTGTTAATAATGTAGTTATATTGACAAAATAGTGGTTCCATTCTATTTGGCATGTAGAAATCCATTGAAAACGACACCCAACAAGTCATAAGTCAAAAATCATAAATTATTTAAAATTCCCCCTACTCCTAGTAGAAAAATAACAACTAAACATGTACCAATATGCTAAATCTCTTATGGAGGTGGTTCTATCGACCTAAATATGGTTCCTATCGATTCACCGTGTATACAAACCTTAAAAACGACTTCCTAAATGACTTCACATCGTGAATAATGAATTATATCAAAATTCCCCCTCCCCACCCCCTAAAAACCATGTTCCCCCATCGGGACTGTTAGGGACTCATCGGATCTTGACTTCCATTGGTAAAACGAAGTTAAAACCAAAGTTTCATCCCTGAACTAATTTTTTCATTTTTATTTAATATTTTTCCTGTACTATTTCACTTGTTATTGTCACTCCCAGATATTTAAAATTGTCAGTTTTTGTGAATTTAAAATTTAAGACTTCCAAGTATGGTTGGTTATCAGGTAGTCTACTTATCTTCATTATCTTAGTTTTCTCTTCATTTATTTTTAATCCCACTTTTTGTGTTTCAGTGATTAGCTTTTCTGCTAGCTCCTTAATATCTTTTTTATTTTCTGCTATTAGTGCCACATCGTCTGCAAATGCTAGAACGTTTGTCTTCCCGCTAATCTTTGCACCTCCCTGAAGACTGCTCACCTCTCTCAGCGCTTCTTCAATGACTATATTAAATAATAATGGGGATAGTGCATCGCCTTGTCTTAGTCCTGTGTTAATTCTAAAGGTGTCTGAGTATTCATTTTCTACTTTGACTTTTGATATGGTCTTAAATGTGCACATTTTCGTAAGATTGACAAGTTTCTTTGGAATCCTGTGTTTTTCCTTCAACTTCCACATTTTTTGTCTTGATATGCTATCATAAGCTTTTGCAAAGTCAACAAAAAGAATATACAAGTCTTTGTTGTATTCCCAGTATTTAGATGCTATTTCTTTCAATATGAAAATCTGGTCGGTTGTTGATCTGCCTGCCATAAATCCTGCCTGGTGTTCTCCCACTATGTTTGCAGCGTATTTCTCTATTCTATTAAGAATTATTTTAGAGAGTATTTTGTAAGTTGTGCTTAAGAGTGATATTCCTCTGTAATTTTTGCAGCCTAGTTTGTCACCCTTCTTATGGATGGGGACAATTACAGCTTCCTGCCATTCAACTGGTATTTTCTCTGTTCTCCATATTTTCACAATCAGCTTGTATAAATACATCAAAATGAAAAAGTAAATCGGTCCCGGGTCTAGGTCTTACCGTGCCACCTACGGTAATAGCTACTTCCCTATAGGGAAATTCGCTAACATGCATAGGCTATATGACTCAAACACTCTGTTAGCTAAATTATAGTATATTATGTTTTACAGTTAAGTTACCTTGAACTGACTTAGATTCATGTCCGGGATCTTCCTCCTTAACCACAAATTGGACTTTTTCTGCAGTATGAATGCGACTTCTTTTCCTGTAAGAAATGTTGTCTTATTACTATAATTTATATTTCAGCTCTCTTTTTGAAACTTGAGAGTTTGCTATCATTTCCAACCAACGGGGTTTCAATCTTGAAGAGACTTTACTTTCACCGGCCGATTCTAAAGTGTAGCCCTTGATAAATAACTTTATGATACTCTGTAGCACCATTACACTGATGGATGACTATAATTTTGAAGTAGAAATCCAGAGAAATTATGTTTGAGTACGTTGGAAAACTATAGCAAAAATACTAAAAATACTACTGTTATGAATGAATGTTAAGAAACTTAGTATGTAATGTTTTCTCCCATACCTGGTGGTTGCATAGAGAGGACAACAAGGACAGAGACAGCAGCACAGTAGAGTGAGCAGTGTAAGAGCAATCAAGAGCAGAATAAGCAACAAGATCCAGAACAACAAGCGGTTCTCAGTCTGGTATGCGCCCTGTGCAAGACATTAGCAAAAACCTGATACTGTATTATGAACATAACTGCTGGAAACACATTGCTGAATTCATTTCATTTTTAAAGTAAGTTGTTTAGAGGGTAATTGTTTTGGTAATTAGAATATTCATAATGCTCAAACTATATTGTTACACATATTATTTATGTATATAAATAACCATAAAACTGGATAATCTTGATCTGCAAGGGGTGCAGACGCAATTGCCTGCTCAGGAATCCAGTGCAGCGTTGCCACAATGGACCCTGGCCAAGCGCATGGTGATTCAGGCAGGGCGTGTCACTAAGACTGACTTTCGGAACACATCATATTTTGCATTCTTTCAAAATGTCAAAGTATTATTACCACCCAAATATGCTATCATTAGTCCACCTCAGTTTGTCTCTAATTTTAGTAGTGTTGGCATCACTAGAAATTGGTACCGGTACCAAATCTAAATCGTCCGATTACGAGTATGCTATGATAGTTAGTACTATATATTTTTTAGAAGTGAGGGAGGAAAAGTAGGTGATAAGAGATATCCAGTATAGAAAAAAGTGCACTAGTGTTTGGGAAGATCTTTTTAGTTCACAACTCATAGCCGCCCAGTGTCCAGGTCTTGGAAACACTGTATGGTGTAAGCGCCCAGTCAGAGGTGGCGGTAGTCTGGAAGTACCTTACCCTGCTAGCTGCTACATCATCCAAATTAAATGTCAATTGATATAAAAAATATTCGGAACAATAAGGTTGAGCATGAATATTCCAATTATTACCAAAATAATTAACTTCAACACAAGCTTTTCAAATTGTTTCTATCTTTTGCCGTTTTTTTTAGAAAAAGTTAATTTACATAATTACAAAAGAAAAACTTTTTAGATTAAGTACAATTTCTAACAACTCACAAACTACCGATAATTAATTACTATATGTGTTTTTTAAAATTAAAGTTTGATGAAGTTCTGACTTTTTACATTGTGCAAATTTTCAAATTCATAATATGGTTTTTGAAACTCTAAAACCACAGCTTTTTTACCTTCCGACCATCATAAAGATTTTAATTAAAGAGCTAAACAAATTTGTTTTCACAGGAATTCGTTAAATAAAACAACAACATTTGTTATGTATTCCGTGTTTTTTGAAGTAGTTTGGTTACTTTTCTGTAGAGCTCTAAACTCGAGTGTGAGGTGATTTTGAATTTCACATATAGTAGGCCAGTCCAGAATCTGAAGGGGGTTGAGCATGCATGGAAAGCCTGACGCAATTTTATTTCTGATTGTTGTTATAGGCACTATGGTGATTATGAGAGCTTATTAATGAGATACAAGAAGACATTAAGTGGTACTGCTCAACCTGTGTGCTGAAGATAGACAGGTTAGTCACTAAAGTGTGGGATACGGACGATTTGTTAAATTTGAGATCAATTGTTGACAACTTAGTGGGGCTTGTAAAAGGAGTGATAAATGACAATTTAGAACTAAATAAGCGAATGGACTCTTTAGCTGATGGAAATTTAAGGTTAAGCAATACAATACTGTCACTGTCGTCTGCAGACGGGAGTAAACAGGAATTAGCAATGTCGAACATTTCAGGGTTTTGTGGTTCTTCCTCTTCCTCTCTCCGGCAGAGTGCAAAAAACGCTGTCGACGATATGACTTTCGATCAAACGATCGGTGAACCAATGACTTCCAATGCTCTATGCAATGGCAAAGATGAATTAACAAATAATAATTTAGTTGGCGTTGACGGAGACTTGCAATTGCAACCTAAAGTCGGTGACTTGCATTCTAGAAACCCAAGATATTCGAGACATAACCAACAACGAGAAAATTGTTCTTATTCAAACAAAAGTAGAATTTATACCAACTCTTCTGACTGGACAGAAGTCAGAAATAATAAAAGGCGCTTTAATAATAGAAAGTATCCAGAAACCATTACTTATAATGAGAAGAAATCTGAAACCATAGTTAGGCCTATGGATTCTGAGGATAAGGCTCATGCTCATGGTATGTCGAAGCCCAAGGCTTACAACGAGGCTGTAAAAGGTAGGCCTACTATAAGAAATAAAGTTGTGCATGGGACTCAAGAGGTAAGTGAGGACAATTTGCTTAAACCAGCTCAGAGAATGATGTGGCTTTTTCTGACAGGCATGGACATTTCGGTAACTTCGGACTCAATCTTAAAATATTTGAGAAGTTTAAAAGAAAATGCCAATTTTCAGTGTCAAATTATAGTGTCAAGGTATGACAGTTATCGCTCTTTCAAGGTAGGTGTACCTTTCGATCTTGGTGAGGAATTCATGCATCCTAACCTCTGGCCCGTAGGGAGTAAGATTGGGAGATATCGCCCCCCTAGGACAAACCGTTGGGATAGGGCTGGTCAAGACAATTTTTTAGGCCCAGTATCAAACAGGACTATAGAAACCAGGGATCACCCAAAATAAATCAAGTTATCAAGCTACTATCAGTAAACATACAGGGTCTTAAATGTAAACTTGGTGATTTGGAGCTTTTTATGAATGACTGTGACATTAATGTTGCTTGCCTCTGTGAACATTTTTTAAGAAATGATGAAGCTGAATTTTATATACCGAGTGGTTACCTATTAGGAAACAATTTTTGTCGTTCCAATCTATCAAGAGGTGGAGTTGGAATACTTGTTGCTAAGGACATTCTGTTTAAAAAATTTGATTTGAATCAATTTTGTTTAGAACTCGACTTTGAAGTCACTGCGGTTGAACTACCTCATTTTAACCTAATTGTTGTGTCATTATATAGATCGCCTATGGGTAATGTAGACATTTTCTTGCGGTCTTTGGAAGATATGCTAGCTTTCCTAGTCAGTAGGGGAAGTACGAGTAAACTCATGATTGGTGGCGATTTCAATGCGGACTTTGACATCACAACTGTAAAGCCTAGTGTTACAAACTTTTTGAATATACTTAGACAGTTTAATCTTTTTTGTGCAAATGACAAACCTACTAGAGGCGCAGCGTGTCTTGACAATGTTCTAACCAATGTTAATTCTTCAGACTATAAAATAAGTGTTGTAAACCCGTTGTTAGGGGACCATGATGCGTTAATACTGGAACATTCTCAAATTTCTGCGGAACGTCAACTTCAGAAAGACGGCGAAGTATGGACCAGAAGATTCACGCCTGTTATGGTTGATAACCTTATTATGAACCTTAGCACTGTCAGTTGGGACTTGGTTTTTGACCCTAATTTATCTGCTGAAGAAAGTTTCAATCTGTTCTGGGACTGTTTTTTCTCTAATTTTAATGATTGTTTTCCTTTGGTGAAGAAGAAGGTGTTTAAAAATAGAACTCTCAAAAATAAAGTTAACTGGTACACCCCAGAGCTGGAAAAAATGAAAAAATTAATACTGTTTTATCAAGATGTGTATAAAATGTATGGTAATGAGGACATTCTTTTTTTATCCAAAAATCTAAAGGGCAAGTATCGCACTGCTATCCGAGAAGCAAAGAAGAGAAAAAACGAAGAACTCATCGAGAGGTCTACCAATAAGTGCAAGACTGCTTGGTCGGTAATTAACTCAGCTGCTGGGAGGTCCACGCAGAAAAATATGTCAGCGCTATCCCCTGATGACTACAGCTCCTACTTCTCCACGGCGGTGGAAGAAATCTGTGAGAAAGTGAATGTGTCAAAAAGCAATGCTCATCAAATGGTGGCAAAAAGTGCTCAACCTGTGTTTGATTTTAAATTCACAATGGTATCAGAATTAGATGTTTTAAATGTGATTGTGTCGTTAAAAAATAGAGATGCGTATGGGTTAACGAGTAATTTATTGAAAAATGTTTGCTCTGTTATTTTAAGTCCTTTCACTTATTGTATAAATCGCTGTCTCATAGAGGGTGTTTTTCCATCTTTTATGAAATTGTCAAGGGTTGTCCCGGTGTACAAAAAAGGGGACAAAAATTTGCCTAGCAGTTACCGACCCATTTCATGTATTTCTACAATGGCTAAAGTTATGGAAAAAATAGTCAAAAACCAAGTATGTAATTTTTTTGAACATAGTAATCTGTTTAGTAACTGTCAATTTGCTTATAGGTTAGGTCTTTCATCAACTTTAGCGGTGGATCATGTTGTAAATAATCTTTTTAACGCTTTAGAGGATAGGTGCTTTGCTCAGATCACCTTATGTGATCTGAGTAAAGCGTTTGACTGTGTTAATCATCCCATTCTTGTAGACAAATTAGCTCATTATGGTTTTCAAGGCTGTGAATTAGATTTATTTGTGTCATATCTTAGTAATCGTAGGCAAATGGTTGAGGTCAATGGTATTACATCGCAAGTCACTCATGTAAATTTTGGAGTTCCGCAAGGTTCAATTTTGGGCCCCATCTTATTTTTAATACTTATGAATGATCTATCTGTTAATGTTTCTTGTAGTGATGTCACAATCTATGCAGACGACACAACACTGTTCTGTAGCCACAGTGACTTAGGGCAGTTGCACTGCCTATCAGAAAATGCCTTAGGTGAATCGACAGAGTGGTTCTCTGCAAATGGCTTGCTTTTAAATGTTGACAAAACTGACAATTTATTGGTTTCAACCCATGACATCTGTGATTTTAGTTCTGTTAAGCTTTTAGGTATATATATTGACAATAGGCTGTCTTGGCAGCATCATATTGATTTTATCTGTACAAGGTTATCCAGAGTCAAATGTTTATTAAGCAGTTTAAGGAATCATGTCACTAATAGCTATTTGAAATTAGCCTATTTTGCATTTTTTGAGAGCATCATAAGATTTGGTATTGTGATTTGGGGTAATGGAGTAGGTATTGGTAAGGTGTTATTGATACAGAAAAAAGTCATTAGAATTGTTACTGGTGCCAAAAGATTAGACCATTGTAAATCTCTGTTCATAGAATCTAGTATATTAACTGTTGTAAATCTGTATATTTATGAAGTCTCCATTTTTGTGAAAAAGAACTCAAACAAACATGTTTTAAGAGGAAATGTCCATAGCCACTTAACTAG